CCCGCTGCTGGTCCTATGACCCCAGAGAGAGACCCAACTTCACTGAGCTGGTGGTCAAGATCAGGTATTTCTTCATTAAATACCAAAAGAGAGCTCTACTCTCACATGACTGATTGCACAGAATGAAAATAAATTGAGACTTAGTTGAGATTAATCAAGGCCTCAGAGTTGGATCTATGGTAATTTCCTTTCTTCATAATATTGATGTAAGACAAAATAACAGTTCATATAAAGAAATGTTGCTTTTCTCATAAGTAAATGTTGTGCGTCTCTTAATTGAATATTTCCATTGATGCAAGTTAATTGAATGTACTGATCCAAATACCTTCTCAGAGTAGGTTCAGTATAGAAGAAGTTAGTTCAAATTGTAAAAACTTAGATGGCTGGACAAACATTAAAGATATAATTTAATGTAAGTATGTAGCCCATGGGGTGTTTTTTTTTTTAGCCTCTCTTACACATGTTATAACTCGTCTCTCTTCTCTCACTCTTTACAACAATCTCTCAGTGATGTCCACAATATGGAGAAGGAGCAGGAAGTGGAGAGAGAGAGGGACAGAGCGCGCTCCACAAAAATCTTCGACACCAAGTTCAACTTTAACGAGCCTCCTCCCAAGGTGTGAAACCCTTCAGCCGCTGTTACATGTTACAAAACAGAACATTATTCAAATTTAAAGCATGGACCTGTGCATGTTTTAATATATCTTTTCTATATTTACTGTAGCCATCGAGAATGAAACCAGGGCGGTTTGGGAACACGCTCAGTATTGGTCTACACATTCAGGTACAGTAGTGAAGTAATCATAGTTTCCTCCAACACGACAGGTTTTAATTCAATGGTGTTATATATTATGTTGTTATAAAGATGTTTATATAAGTGACGTCTGTGCGTATCTGTGCAGCTGAACGAAGCTTTGTGTGCCAGCTCTCCTGACCTGGCCAGCCCATGTGAATACCAGTCCCCTGTCGACTCCATGAACAGTCTTGCGGTGCCAGTCAGGTCCCCTCGTCGTCGGAGCGTGGGGGTAAGAAATACTCTTACATTTTTCTTACATCTGGAGTCACCTGTTCAAATGACGATAAACCTGAAATTCTAAAGCACTACATGGAAGTTGAAATGTGAATGTGTGCGACCAAAAGAGGCTTGTGTTAACCCATCATACTTCTCTTACACCTCGCTGATTGTAGGAGGGTGAGTTTCTCCGAGTGGAAGCAAACAGCAGGGAGGACGCCCAGCGCCTGTGGCAGAGGGAGAGGCATCACATGCAGGACACTCTCCGCCAGCAGAAAGAGCAGATGATGGAGGATAAAAAGTGGCTGGAGAAGGAGGAGAGACTCCTGGTGGGAAACAGAGCATCATTAACTTTTGTCAACCCCCTCTCTGTTTCTCTGTGTGCCCCCACTTCCAAATTCAACGTGGCCCTGGAGGCTACAGTGAACGTGGCGTCGTTAAACAATATCAACCCACTCGTTCACTCCCGACGCCCCACTAGTCTTAAATTGAATGTTCCCCTGATAACAGTTCCAAAGAGGGGGTCCATGTCCATAATCTATAAAATGAACCTGCCTGTTCTTTTGCAGGACCCCATGGGACCAGAGGACATTGCCAGCCCAGTGGTAGGTGTCTGCACGGGCTAACTGTGATTGTGAGAGGGAATTAACTCTAAAACCAAACAGCTTTTGGCAGTGTAGCTCACGTTTCTTTTTGTTTTGGTTTTGTTTTTTCTTTGGCAACATGTTCTCCTTATTCCCATTGGACAAGTGACCTAATGTAGTTAGCATGATGCCACACAACATGTAGTAGTTTGTGTAGTCTGCATGATATTTCAAGTGCACCTTCAAAGAAAAACATTATTTTTCAGCTCACTAAAACTTTGCAGCAACAGTAACATAAGCTTGATTATTTAAATTGGAAATCAGTGAAAGAGCAATGATTATAGTTTGTGATTACTGTAAAGGGGAAAACTGTATGTTAGTGATCACAAATACATTAACTGATGCTATTTACCATAAACTTCACATATAGTTCTTTATCAAAAGGCATTCTGGGACATATAGGAAACCTCCAACTGAAATACAGGAGGCACATTTAGTGAAGTTTGCTAAATTTAATAACTTGGAATTGAGTGATTATCACAGATTGGGGATATACAACAGTGTAAATGAACAGGGGGAACTTTTCCTTTAAACTTTGTGTTTCAGTTTTCTTAGGATAAATCTGATTTACTGTATATCTAATAAAAGTCTGATATGAGTTCTGCTGTTTACTAGGATTAACTTTCTGCGTAGTGTTTGTGAGCTATTGGATATTCTGACAGTGACACTTCAGACAGGATGTTTATGTTTTCTAGTCCTCATGAGATCTTTTATTCTTTTTAGTCCCCTGAAGCTGAGGCCGAGAACGGTAAGTGCTTAAAGGAAATTCACAAATCCAAATTATATTCTGATTCGTTCTGAGTGCTACTCTTCCTCTCTCAATCCTCCTTTCTGTTTTCACTCTCTTTCTCTGCCTCACATATTGTTCGTCTTTCTTCCCTGCAGCACCTCCAGAGAAGCCCCCACGGCTCACAGCACAGGTAATTATATCAGTTCATTTCTGTATTGCTTTATCTTTTAGCCCTCTGAAAAGACCATTTAATTATATTAGCTTTGATTTTTAGATAAAAATGAATTCAACAAAGTAAAATTAGCCTTTAGTTGGAAGGGCATTGATGCCATCTTGCATTTAAAATGGGGTCCAGTGATCCTGAGGATTTTAATTATTCAAACACATTATTCTCTCTTCCTTAGCCGACGCCCACAGCGGAGCTGGACCGCTCTGACGACAAAGTGTATTCGTCGGTTATGAATCTGGTCAAAGTTGTTGTCCAACTAAAGAATGACATCCCTGAACTGCAACCTGAACAATATATCACCATTGTCCAGGTACGCTGAGACAAATCTGTTTTTCACTTAAATTTTACAGTTTGTTGTTGATTTTGAGGCAAATTTAAGCTGTATGAATTGTAACTGAAGACAAACCTCTCAAGTCATACAGCTGATTAATTCTCTGCATCGACCTCTGCCCTCAGTCTGTTGGGATGGCCTTACGAGATCTGATTCGCAGTGTGGATGACATACTGCCCACCTTACACGAGTCTGTCAGGACTGAGGTACAGTATATTGTCTGCAGCTTGTTTGCTGTGTTTGCTCTTCTCTTTACTCCCTTTCTTTATTGATCTACCCCCCCCCCCCCCCCCAAGCTGCAAAAAGTGACAGAACTCCTCTTCAAACACAAAGAGGAAATTAGCATTCCATGTTTACTCTTCTGGCTGAGGACATAAAAAATCCATAGCTTGCATATTCTACGAATACATATTTATCAGTTTATTATGTAGGGTACAAATAATTTTTTCATTTATTTGCATTTCTTGCTTACTTCAAACAACACCAGCTGAGAAGCTTCACAAACACAGTGCCCATGTCTGTATATTTTGATCACATAGTATTGTACAGGCCTTATTCACAGAACACATTTGGCATAACACACTAGGAAAAGTACAGGTGCTACTAATAACATTAATCTGCTCTATTCAAATGTCAAAGTTAGTGGTGTGACAGCATAGACAATACCAGGACCCTGAAACAGAACCAGCTGATTAGAATTCAGCCATCATTAATTCCTTGTCAAAATGTCTCCCACGAGTAAGGCCAATATCCAAAAAGTCGCCCATTATGTTCGTTTGCCATCCCCACAGATCGAGGGCACCCAGAAGCTGCTGAACAACGACATGGCGGAGCTGATCAGCAAAATGCGGCTGGCCCAGCAGAATGCCATCACCTCTTTGAAGGAGGAGTGTAAGAAACAGATGCTGGCTGCAGCACACAATCTGGCTATGGACAGCAAGAACATGTTGGATGCCGTGGACCAGGCCAGAGTGAGGGCCAACTTAGCCAAGCCAGTGGCCCCTTAGTGGACACATTAAGTTTAAAATCCGACTTTTTCAGTCAGAAATAACATTTGCACACAGTCGTTTTTCAGAGTCAACGTACCTGTAAATGTGTGTTTTAAGTTTAAATATGATACTACAGTGGAAGAAAACTAGAAACTAAACTATTAAACTAGTTTATGCTTACCAAGGTAGCATGTATACTGAAATGAATGGTCTGCTGGCATCGTATTTCGCATGCTGTCACTTCAGACATTTACACATTCTCATTTGTGATTGTGCATTTGTCTTAATTGAATTGTAAATATAAAATGTGTCTGATGACAAGTACAAGAGGTTTTATTGTAGAGAAAAGGAAAAAGTAACATAAAGCAAATTAAAAAAGTAATTGTTTACTAAACCTGTCAGTAGTAACCTGGGTCAGATATAAAGATGACAAAACCAAAAGGTTAGTCAGCCATTCAACTGTTCAAATGTGTTATATACAGCATTATGTTGTTATGAGATGAAGATGACAGTGATATGGATAATCAGATGTGTCAGGTACTATGTTCACCAAACCAAGGTTTTTGCATTATGTCCAGTTTTCATTATTATAAAATATGAAATTCTAACAGGTAATCAAGTGCTGTAAAATAAATATCCTGATGTATACTACCGTACATTAATGCCTGTTTATTAAAACATGTCTCTAGAGTATTTAAATCTTGATTTTCTGCGTTGATAGTATTGATAATGATCATTTGGGTTTTCTTAGGTAACACAATAACAGCAACACCTGTACAATGTATAATTCTTTCCCAAGCAAAAACACAACTATTTGTTGCTATTACAACACAGTTGAATCAACACCTATCTGATGCCATCTTATTAGAAGCTGTGCAAGTTGTATGGCTGTTGAATTAGTTTGCATTGTAATGTGCAGTTGTTACCTTCACTTTTTTCCCTCTGCAGCACTATAGCATTGTTTCAAGCATGTGTGAACATGTGGAGTATCATTTGTATTCTGGATTCTGGTATTCTGGCAGGAATGATACAACCCTTTTACCGCCACTCAATAAATGCAATACATACTTTTAAAGGTTTTAATGAGGGTATTTATTACATAGTATGATCATTCCAAAATAAGCGTAATCATGACAGCATGGCCAGAAAACTTAAAAAAACAAAAAAAACAAAAGGAAATTCGAGCACACATGACCCCAGTTAGTGTGTCCAGTATACTATATATTCCTAGCACAGCATGCCACTTGAAGGTTGAGAAAAGCCATCCCATTATAGGTGGAACAAAGTTTTAGTTTGTGTCACTCTGTCATTTGAATGACACTGACAACTTGGATGGATTGCCAAGAAATTTGGTACATTAACAGAAGATGAATCCTAATAACGTTGATGGCTCCATTACAATGCCCTTGAATGGGCACAACCAACGGATCTAAATTTCTACTTCAGCTCATGACTGGATATCTTAAAGTACTGAATGTGTTCCTGTCAGCATCAGTATTTTTAGACTAATGCCGCTGACTAATGTTGGGCAAGTTACTTGAAAAATGTAATCAAATTGATTTGTTATTGGTAATTGAAAATGTAGCCACATTAATTTACTTGCACTGTAACTAAACACTAGTTACTCAGCTCATCCTATATATCCTAGATATGAAGTATAGGTACTTGTAAGTACTTTGGTCTGCAAAAAAGTGGTATCAGTGCACCACTAGTAATATCCGTTATTGATCCCAAAATGACTAGTAAATGTGATGTAATTACGTTATTGAAGTTGAAACTACAATTCCTCAAACTACAGAAAAAAGTAGTCATATTACTATAACACCATACCCTGCACTGATGCTGGCATTGCATGTTTTAACTAGCATGTTATACTAACCAACATGCTAAAGAGACAATATTCTAAACATTGGCATGTTAACATACTGTCATTTCTTAGCGTGCTAACATATCAAATCTTAGGGGCTAAACATCAGGATGCTAACATAAGTTAACAGTTCCCAATAAAAGTCTGGGCATGTTAGCATGCTAATGTTAGCATTGAGGTCAACCTAAGTAACATTTTTAATTTGGTTTAGCGTTATAGCCTCATGAGGCCGCTAATGTAGCATGTTACACGTCACATTCCCAGTCTTTAAGTAGAGTTCAGCTACATTTTGAACTTCACTAACTAGTGGTGATTACTTTCTCACCAGAGCTAGATCATGCCAGCTAGCCAAGGGGGTAGGAATAGGCCAATGGTTCCAAGCAGGCACACAATAATGAACATCCACAGGAAGATGCGGTCAATCACCATGGCGACATACTTCCAATCCTCTTTGACCTGTGTAGAATTAAGATCAACAGGAAAGGACAGAAAGAAAGAAAAAACACAGTAAAGGTACAGATATGAAACTCTTGCTGTGATGTCCATAGTTTGCTTTGAAATGGATCTTAGTACAAGTTCAATCAGGATCACCACCATTCACACACATGCTGTCTCCATACGCTTGTATATTTCTTGCATTGACCTGTTCCAACCATTCACTATCAGACTATGTTATTTTCTTATGTCATCTTTGTGTAGCCAGACTTATAATTGTTCCCTAATGTGCCCCACTTTCACTTGTCATTTAGCTCTGATTTTGGTCTCTACCAACTCCTGAGAGCCATATCTGTCTTTTTATCTAGTCTCTAACTGTGTCTGTCTGCCATTTGGTGTTGAGCAGGCAGTCTACAGTGGGTTTTTAAGCTTTTCACCGAAAACAGCTGCCCACTGCAGCACAAAGTTACAGACCAGACAGATAAACAGTGAGAAACCCATTATAAAGCTACATAAAGTTGGAGCTTCAGATTCAAATGATAATTCTCTGTAGGTTCATTCCTATAAGCAACTAATTTCACATTGTTTTTACATGATCATTTTTCTGTTATTATAAAATATCTGCTTACAACTGCTTTAATGGTGAATCATTAAGTAATTTATTAAAAAAGAAAGCCAAATAATCTCTGGGTCCAGCTTTTTAAATGTGAAGTTTTACAGCTGTTCTCTGTTTTATATAATATCTATAGAATATGTTTGGATTTAGAAATACTGCAACTCTTGTCCATACGTCTATCCCATTTAAGGTGTGTTATTTCATTATACGGTTAAGTAAGTTTTTCCTCTGTTTTTAGTGTACGAGAACAGTACAACTGCAGGTGTTTGTCACAGGGGTGTTGGTAAGCTGATTAGCATGCACTGTGTTTAGAATCAATAGACTTCACATATGCTGGGCAAGATAAAATACTATGACTTGATGAGAGATGTAAGTTAATTTTTGGCATTCAGTACATCCACATGGGCACATAATCCACTTACTATGAGGAAGTGGGATGAAATAAATCATGAACATTTGCAGGCCAACTGTGATACAAGTGCATTTTACAGTAAGTGCCATTCTGATAATAATAGATATGGTACTGATTGATACTCACGCTGAAGTCAGCATCCTCAGCCCTCAGATGGTCTGCGATGTAGTGCACCCCTTCCAGAGCACGTATAACACTTGGTGAAAGCAGGAATGTTGAGTCTGATACTTTATTATCAACTTTAGCTGGCCTCTGAGTGGGATTGACCCTGGGCCCTGTTAACTGTCTGTTTGCCACTGCAGCCCCCTCTGGACGGTTCTGGCTGTTCTGTGGGGTTTCCTGTTGTGGAGGAGGAGTCGATCCTGGAGGTCTGGGCGAAGGAGGACGGAAGGAGAAATATGACGTCAGTGTTCCTAGCTCTAAATCCTCGTAACTGCTTCTCTCTGGGTCGTCTGATGTGGTCCCATCTTTTAACCAGTTAGCTGAGGTGCTGAGGCAGTTGCCAGATTTGTACGTGGCTATCCGGCACTGCCGCTGCTCCGCCACAGCTGCCTGCTGGAGCAGCAACAGCCTGCGACGTCGGCCATCTGGCGCGGGCCGTCGCATGAACAGCCAGCGTGGGATCAGGTCCAGGAACACGGAGTGGACCCAGCGGGGCATCTTGTGAGTGCTGGGAGACCGATGGTGCACGTTGAGCACAAACACGGTGATGACGATGGAGAGGGTGACAAAAATCATAGTGAAGAGGAGGTACTCGCCGATGAGCGGGATAACGAGGGACGTGGACGGTATGATCTCTGTGATGAGGAGAAGGAAAACAGTGAGGGACAGCAGCACAGAGATGCACAGGGTGATCTTCTCACCACAGTCTGAGGGCAGATAGAAAACCAAAACAGTGAGGCAAGAGATGAGCAAACAGGGGATGATGAGGTTGATGGTGTAAAACAACGGAAGCCTTCGAATGATGAAGAAGTAGGTGATGTCTGGGTAGATCTCGTGGCAGCAGTCGTATTTCTTTGTATTATATGTTCCCACGGCATTGATGATGGCCCATTCACCGCTCTCCCAGTAGTTGTTCAGGTCCACAGTGTTTTCAATCCGCTCCAGATCGATCTTGGCCTTGTCATACGTCCAGGAGCCAAATTTCATCTTGCAGTTCTGCTGATCAAAGGGGAAGAAGGTGACGTCGATGCTGCAGGAGCTCTTGTAAATGGCAGGAGGGACCCAGCGAACTTTACCAGTGTGGAACAGGTGAGCTTTCGTCATGTGGGTCACAGCAAACTCACCGTCAGCGCTGGAAGAGCAGAAGTGGTCACATGAGTGACGGTGACATAAAGTATGAGAGAACAGCTTTAAATACCTAAAGGCAAAAATATCAGAAAAACAATCACACCCTGCTTTCTAATACTCCTTTTGAGAAAAACTGTAGAAACTATGCGGTGAAAAAGTCCTATGATTTCCCATTAATAATCTTCTCCATTAATCTCCCCTCCATTCATTGCTTTAATTGTGATAATAGCTTCTGCCGAAAATGTAATGATGATCCTTATCATTTTCATCACTTTCACACCTTTTTTAATTTCGCTTACAGATTGTGATTACACAGACTCGATGGAGCAGAACTCCATCGTAAACCGTCTCAGATTAATCTCCGTGAGGTGAAATTAGGGGAAGGGACAATGGATTCACACTGAAGCAATACACATAAACTGTACCAACAGACACTGACAAAGATGCACAGTAACAAATAAAGTTAATAGAAATGTTTAATATAGCTCACAATTTGAGACAGACAGCTGAGCAGAATGTGTTTTATGAAGTCCACTAGATGGCGCCATCTTCACATCATACCCCATTTAAACCAATTTATCATTGTATGTTTGTCTGCAGCTCTGCAAGCACCCACTGTAGCATGCAAAATACACTTATATTACCTTTTCAGGACAGCAGATAGATTGTGTTTTATTGACCTGATCATGAAACTTAAATAACATGCTTGTGTTAAACACAGTTGAACAGAGCTGATTAGCTGGTCAACAATAACATTAATCGGCAATCATTTAAAAAATCAATTGACCACTTTTAGATGAAATAATTGATGAATTATTCATTCATTCTTATTAATTCAAGAGAATAATCAATCGTTAGTTGCTATAATTAAGGTTCTCTCTTACTCTTCCTGTTGTGTTAATCTCAAATCACACATACTTGTTGTAGAGGACGATGTCGGGTACCCATATGAGCTCTGACGGGACTCTGATGGACGTCACATTGTCATAGTCAGACGGTCTCCAGCGAAGTTTGTAGTCATTCCACTCCTGGTGGTATAAACAACAGTGATACCTTTAGGGGCTGTGATCCTCTACTTAGGGTAGGGTTTTCATATATATTCTTAACATTGTGTATCACCACGAACAAAATACATCTCAATAATAAATCAACACTGACACAAATATTTCTGACCTGTTTCAGCCACACATTGGTTGTCATCATTTGGTTCTTCTCATCCTAACAGACAGACAGATAGTCAGACAGACACAGAGACAGAGTTAAGGCTGTCAACTCTGGGTTCGGGCCAGAAGAATCTATGCGAGAGGTTCGTGGAGGTTTGTCAGAGCAGACCCAAATATAGCTCGCAGCAACTTTACTTCAATAACTTGATGGATGTGAAGGTGCATAATCAAGTTTTCCTAAGTTTGTTTTTGCTACTGAATGTGAAAATGCAAAATCATACTGTTGAAAAAACCACATGTAGTGTAAAACATACGGGGTAGAATGGTTTCACCGGCAGTGCCTTGAGTTTTGCTAACCATAGGGAGTATTAATTATACTAATTAAAGCTCTAGGAATAAGTTATTGCACTTAAAGTAAAATGTCTTCTACTCAGTCTGACCTTGAAAATTTGTTCACATGTATCTGAATGGATATATAAAAATCCATGTCTTTAGTAAAAGGCTTTAAACAGACAAACTGCTTTTAATCAGAGAGAAAGGCACAGAAATGAGATCGTCCTATTATGAAGTTGGTTCACATTAAAAGCAACAGCTTCCACTTGTGTTTAAATATCACCTCTATTAATGCCTTTATGTTCCCCTCACTCACCACGTCGATGAGCTGCGCTATGGACAGTCCAAACTTGACAATGACCACATCGGAGATGTTTGGCACGGGTCTGGACCACTTGTTGTAACCAACGAACAGCGTCTTGAACAGATCATCCTCAGCATGCGAGTGGGTCTTCTCGTCACAAAGAGCTGTAGATACATTATTCATTTTAATATAAAAAGTCTTCTTTTAAGTGTTAAACATTTATAGGGGGCAGATACAATATGAGAGTAATGGAATTTATAAATTGGTCACATTTATTCAACTCTGTGCAAATGAAATTCCAGATTCTATTAAATTTCACTCACTTTAAATATGCCGTTAATAGATCTATAAAATATTTCTTGAAACAATCTCTTGGGACCGCAATGTGGAGTTTTTCAACATTTTAATAAGCTAATATGACACTGTAAAACTGTTAAAGTAACTGATGTTAGCGCAAATGTCCTTTTGAAATTTTCATTGATACCAAGGTTAGCAGTTCATATTTGAGGGTGTAATATATAAAGAATGTAACAATTACATTAAAAGTACTGTGGAAGAGGACAGGAGTAAAGTGCACAGGGAACGATGGGATCATATCCATGTTCTCTCATCCGTGTCTCCACTAATCCTCACTTAACCAACAGCCAGTAAATCAGGTTGGCATGATATTGTGGCTTTTGGGAGTAAGGGTTGTGAACATCTCGTGTTTCAGCCCAGAAGCCGGCTCTAAACATCTGAGAGTTTTCTTTGTAAAGTCTTATTGACTTTTCCACATCTTAGCAAATCTTTTGATCTCTTGATCTGAGCTCCCCACGAGGGTCGCCTGCTAAAATCTCTCGAGTTGAGCGGGGTGAGTCCGAGGAAGTACTTCTCCTCCCTCAACAACAACATTTCAGCTGTAACCTCTTCCTTTACCTCTGCAGCGTTTTTAGAATGTATGTGTGGCTTCGCAACGAGAGGTGGCTTAATCAAATTGATTTTGAATATGCAGTCTAGACAGATTTGCGTACAAGCTCAGACTGAGTCACTGTATTATTTTTCTGCAGAATGAATTGCATGGAAACAGACAGGAATCCCATCCCTTGGGGATTACCGCTTCCACCTTCATCAGTGTAGACTGAGTCAATTACACACATCATTACTTGCTTGTGTTAAGTGGAGGTGAGCTAATTTCTCACTAGTGAAGGGTGTTTATTGTCAAGCTGTCTGTCACTCTGTGTTACAACTGATGCATAAAACAATTAACTGACAGCTGCAGCAGAGGGTGACGATAGTGTGTGTTTGCATCTGAGTATACTATATCCGACCGATAATGTTTGGTAGCAATATTTAAGTTTAAAAAGTTTGATGAATATTATACTGCCAATATTAGTTTTTAATATAAATACAGAACTAAAACAAAAATTCCCTTAAGGATCCCTTAAATTAGATTTTCTGAAGAAAGAAAAAGCCCTGTGGTTGGCAAACTATGTACGAACCCATGTAATGGCTTCAGGGTTTTTAAACAACCTCAAACATGTATTTGGCATTACTACTTGTTACCTATGGGCTGGTATCGTATGGATGATAACAACATATCAGCAATAAGCTCGATCAGGCTTCAACGTACAGTAATGGACCTGCATTAGTCATTATCCTGGACTGACATTAAAGTAATGGTTCCACATTTTGGGAAATACACTTATTCACTTTAATTCTGGAAAATTAGATGAGATGATTGGTGCCACTCTCATTCCTGTATGGTCGATATGAGGCTGGAGCCGGCAGCCGCTTAGCTTAGCATAAAGACTGGAAACAGCAGGAAACAGCAGGAAACAGCAAGCCTCGCTCTGTCTGCAAATCCTTTAAAGCGAATTAATTAACACGTTATATCTTGGGTCTGTTAATTGTACAACTTGTAAAAGCCGTGCTTGGCAACTGATCCCAGCCAAGAAATAGTCAATATGCTAAGCTAATATTTATTTTTACTTTACAGACAGGACAGTGGTCTCAATCTTCTCATAATTTCCCAAGATGTCAAATGATTCCTTTGAAGAAATGTGACATATGGGCTCTATTAATTCGTTTTTTTCTTGTATGTAATGGCATCAATGTTCTTTACCTAGACTACTCTCTTTAGCTTTACTTTACTGTTGTTACTTATAGGCTGAAACATACACAATACCACCAAGAACAATTATATGCAGTATGTGTGAACCTGCATTAATTCTTTTTTTTTTTTTACAAATGCATTATTCAGTGTTTAATGAACGGATCTCACAATATAACAAATGTCTCAAGACAGCTTCTGTCAAGAGATTTATGTAAGTACATTTAAAGCATCACACCAAAGCCTCAGTCAATATAAAGAATCAATATTTTAAAAATCTATTGAGATTGGGTGTACATGCCATTAATACTCACACCCTCTGGATGTGCTGTTTGACAGTGTGAGCGTATAATGCAACCAAAGTGTGCTTCCATCAAGGATCCTAAAATGAGGCCTTGGACCACCTGCATCTGGCAGCAGTCATGGTCGCTCAGCCAAGGCCACATCATTACCCGTCCATGGGTGAGTTGTGGTTCCGATGGGCACATTGACAAGTATTTACAACCCATAACTGTAGGACAGTCCAGTGGAGGATAATCAGGTGAGAGGCTTAAAGGTTGCATAGAGCTAACCTGAGGGATACATGCAAATCTGTTTATTTGATTTATTGCCCATGCTAATTCTTTAGCTTGAGGATCTTTACCAGAGAAAGGCTGAGGAAATATGCAGATGCAAAGCCCAACAACACTCTACGCAATACAATTATCTTACATATGTGGTCTGTAGATATCATGTGAGGTGATTATTAAGAGATGATTTGCCCATGGTACTCCAGGGCTTCTCTCCTGCCACCATGAACTAATTTCATTCTGGCAAACAAGCAGACACCAGAGACTTCGTATCTGTTCTCTTGACAGTCAGGGCGGCACATGTTCATCTGTCCATGCATCTGGGAAGGACCAGATGTGGGGCTTGAAAAAAAAAAGGCTCTCGGGTGCCATAGATCAAAGCCTCCTGCCAGCGGAGACTTGAAATGAGATGACACCTCCAACATCCAGCACACTGGGCTGTGGATGTTGGACCGTGGCCAAGCCCCTTGGCGAGAGGTGCATGAAACACTGACCAGTTTGGATGATCGAGTCAGCAGCTTCTCAGGCCAGAGGCACTCTTGTGAAATTGGGCTGTCATATACAGTAAAAAGTTTGCAAAAAACAATCAAAACATGCAACAATTTTTGCGTGACTTGACTAAAACCTACTCAAGACGGAACGCTGAACTCATAATGAGTATGAGTGTGTTGGCACAAGATCAAGCACCTGCACATCTGATTGCTGGAGCATGTGAAGATGGAGGGAGGGGAGATAGAAGCTACAGCGCATTTGATTTCACAGTGCACGCTGTGTTTTTAAACCCTCTCTCACGTCAACACAAGGAGACATATGTTGCCTTAGATCTCTCAGTGAGCACTGGTTTGTGCACGCAAGTCTTGCTTGTATTTGAGTGGAAGGAGAAGGCATACGTGGCCACGTAGGTGCTCCTGAATCCACTTCCAAATGGAGCTGCCCCAGTTCCACTGTCAGTCTTGATGGACGTGGAAGTCGTACTGAAATTTACCATCATTTCCGACAGTTTCCACAAATGTGTCCACAAAAAAAAGTATTATCCAATTGAAAAATGTGCGCAATAGATGCAGTATATATTTTTATTTTCTAAAACAAAAATGAGAATTCATAATTCAGCTCTAAATTCTGACTATAAATCTGCATTTTTGTCTTGTCAATTACTGATTTTGAGAAAAGACCATTAACATCCACTGAAAATATAACTATACTAAGCTGTTGCACATTGGATGGAATATTTTTTCACACTGTTCTGAGGGAATTTTCTGCTTCTGGTAAGTGTACTGGTTCTCTTTGGCAGTTTCTAAATTTCCATGGTTAAGGATACCAAACTCTCAGGTGGTAACAGGGAATAAAAGAGCTTCTGTATTTTGTGAATATGATTAATTAAAACTAAAAAGAAGTGGACATGAAGTGAAAGACAGAGGGCTCCAGAGATAATTATGGCAAGGTGTGACACAAATACAAACCGTACCATAGCACGAGGAGAGGTGACTGTTGGAGCATTTAGCAGACTTGCGCGAGGTGATGATTTCTCTGATATGAGAAAGGCATTATGGGAGTTGTGGGTGAGGACTGACCGGTAAGTTTACATTTTTTTTTTTTTTTTTTTTTTTTTTAAAGCCCAGTATCCTAATATTAATTATTATTAATTAAGTGTACCCCTTTTACCTTTTAAAACAATATTTAATAGCACACTTATAGAGTTAGCCGCTAACTGTTCGCATATTGTTGCGTTAAAATGTCCCCCCTCTTCTCTCTCGTTATGAAAGCAACGATACAATATTTACCTGACAGGCACAGGAGTAGCGAGCAGAGAATAGCCGTCCCGACAGAGAACAGGTGGTTGTGTCCCATTTTGTACTCTGGCAGTAATGAGTCCAACTTCACCGGAGAGCACGGAGGCGTTTCCGTCCACTGTCAAAACGTTATCTTGAAACCGTGATGTGTGAGCAAAATCTGTCATCTTCGCAGCTGGGAGGCATATCAGGACAACTTCACCGCCACTACTGTTACTACAGCGTTTATATCTGTGGGCGGGGAGTGGGTATGACGGTACGCTGGCTGAATAACTTTACTGAAGCTCAATATCGACGTCGCCTCTTGTCACTTTTAGTCCTGATAAAGACCGGATGAGAGCGAGAACCTTTCTGTTTCCGCGCTCCTAGAGTCTCCTCTCGGGTGAGCTATCCATCACCCGGTGCTGAATCAGGGAGCGGCACTGTAACACTGTAGCTTACCTCTGGTGTGTTTCTAAGTACCAGTTCATGCCTTCACAAATCTGGCCTCAAGAAATGAATTCACGGTTTATAAAAAAAATAAAATAAAATAAAAAAATAGTCCGGTTGTTGCTGTGTGTATATTATCCAAACAGTTCCGCGTTTTTACGCACGGTGCCAAGAATTTACGCGTCCTTGGTAACCTAATCTGAGACTTTGATATCCATTGTAAATTTTAGAATGAGTTATTTTTCCATGATTAGAAGCATTGTTAGCGGCCACTCGGGTCTATTAGGTCCGCAAAACTGCACCATCCGCTGTGAGAAGACAGGACACATCTGAGGACTGCGCGTCTTTCATCTGGTACCTATAACAGTCCCTCCTCCTTTCTCTCTCTTGCTCACTCTCTTTTCCACACACACACACACACACACACACACACACACACACACACACACACACACACACACTGAGAGAGAGAAAGACAGAGAGAGAGAGAAGACAGGATTCACAGTAGAAGTGATAACTTGTATGTATGGGAGGTGATCGACCAGTAACTCGAATTAGGTCGAGTTTGCACCAAAAGGGTAAAGACAATTTCTTTTTATTTTTATTTTTAATTTATTTTCTTAAGGATGTGACACAGCTGAACAAATGTCTTTGGGATATTTCTGTGGGAAACAGCTAGAGGGCAGACTAGGTGAAATAATATGCTTAATGAAGTTTTAGTTCGCCTAAAATATTGCTATGAACCGAAGATTTGAAATCATGGCAACAAATGCAGAAAATTTGTAATCTTTCAGAAAAAACACATCAGAAGAACTTCTTGTTTGTTGCTGTTTACTAGATAAAACATATTTCATTTCATACATTGTACAAATTCATATTATTACACATTTTATGATTACAAACATGAAAGTATTCTCACTCATGGGTCCTGTCAGGGTGAAAAGAGAGACTGGGTCAATGGAGCTGGACAAGCATGATTCTCACGTTTGAATGGGTAAATCCAGCTGAGACCCACGAATAGTCTTCTTTTTTAGATCCTAAGGTTTATGTTCTGTGTTAAATCTGGAAATCAAGGAAACGTTTAAACAATGTGCAGATTCAGAGTTTCTCTGTTTTAAGAGCTTCATCAGGTTTTCTTGTGGTGTGTTTTCCTGCCTCTTTCTTCCTTATCACAGGCATTGTCTAATTTTTCTTACAATAGCTTTTCCCTCATCCACAGGTTATTGCAATTTTCTCCAAACAGATAACATTGCTTTATAACAATGATATCTCAGTTGCAGTTTTGTCTTTTTTTTTTTGTTGCAAAAACAAAATATCCATTGGAACACACTAGTCATCCTGTCCTGGGCTCCATCCTCACCCTGGAACCAGATGGCTGATGCATGACTTCCTCTGGAGAAGACTAACAGAGCCGTTATGTTTGCTCTCTGAGGGCCAATCTAGTTTGATCCATAAACACTCAACTTGGCTTAAACCTGCACCACATACTGTTGCCACATCTGACCTCACCAAATTCCACAAATAATGCCCAGATGGAAAATAATATTTTATGGGTTACGGGGTTGTAACTTCATAGAGAGAGAAATGTTTTTTTATCCAACAATTCTGTTTTGTTGTGTTCATCTTTCACATGATGTGAGATTACCAACAGTTGATGTAATGGCTGACCTTGACACATTGGTGTATCTCAGTGCTATAAAGCACTTCTAGTTAAGTTAATAAAAAAACATATATATAAGTGCAGGAAGGTTTATTTCTCCCACAGCGTACCAAACATTATTCACAAGTTGATGACTTGTGCGCAGTGTGCAAGGTCTTTTCAACACTTCTTTAGCGCTGAACTTTGGCAATGTCTTTCAGCTGCTTGGTGAATGAAGCATGCAGGGCCTGCGATGAGATCTCCAGCCGGTTGGCAATGTCTGCTGCAGCGCGGAGCATGTCTTCGAAGGCCAAGGACTCTTCTCTGATTCTGCTCCGGAAGACGACCGATCCAGGTCACCGGGTGGAGTGAATGGGAAGAAAGGAGGAGGGGAATATGTGGAGAGAGACAGAGTAAGTGAAAGACGAGCTGAGGACATTAAATATATTATGGGGGGGGGGGGTGATACATGTGGCTGCTGTTAAAACTGGTTATGCAATAGGAAAGATCGTGTAAAGGGGAAGACAGACTCATATATAAAGAGAAATTACAAAGATCAAAGCATGACAAGAAAAGACAAAAAAAAAGGGTAATTATGTTATGTGCAAATATACATTCAGTGCATGTTGTTAAAAATAGTCAATTTAGAGGTTTACCATATGTATAATATGTGTATGCGTAGACATGACTGCTCCCTACTAGGATGCTTTGTGCTCAGCATTTGGAAATGATTTGTCTGTTTTAGATATCTCAGCCTATTTTAAAGAACATGCTGATGAATTCTTCAGTTTGCTTCCTTTGTCAAAACAACAGTCAAAAACCCCAAAGATACTCAGTTTACAATGACATAAAACAGACAAAAGCAAATCCTCACATTTGGCAGGTGAGAACTGGTAAATATGTGACATTTTTTGGTTTGTGATTACTTTAAATATTGACCAGATGAGTAGTAAACAAGCAGAGCGACTGCAAGCAGAGACACAGTGCAGCAGCTTTGCATCAAGATATTAGGGTAATAAGTTTGCTCATTTCTTTTGATTGACATTCGCATTGTAAAAGACAGGATGAAACAGCAGTCACCTCTGATAAAATGCTAAAGATTGCCTGTCTCTGCCATTTGAACACAGATATCTCAATATCTCTGTTACACTATTAATTTGTTTACGTCTTCAGTACGCCAACAAACAAGAGCTCATCTTTTATTAGCGGCTGTCTTTACATTTCAACCTTTACCTTTATGAAGATCTGCACAAACGGACTTATTGCACTCACTTCTGCATCCCAGCACGGGCGCCTGACACTTCCCCCTCCAATTGCGTTTCTAGATCTTCTTCAGCTTTCTCTACCACCTCATGGCAACTCTTCTGGTCCTCTTGGATGCCAATTATGTTTTCCTTAATCACATCTTCATAGCGCTGATCTCCCAGCTCTGCCCCCACAAACTGCGCCAAGTTCTCCATCACCGCTTTGTTTCCATGCTGGATGGCCTGCAGATACGCCAGCTCCTCTTTCTGGGCCTTGAGCCTTCGAGGTGAAGCGTTGTTAGTGCTGAAGTGGACCGAGCACTTGTCCGGCTGAGGCTCGTACCGCAGCGTAGGTGAGGATGATGGTGAGAAAGCTGCTGATGTGATCCAGTCTCGGTTGTCTGTCATCCTCACAGGCTCATCACCAATTGCCTGCGTTGTGTCGTTGGGGGCCATTACCGCTGAGTAGATGTCAAAGCCTGAACCCCAATCTCCACTTTGGCAGAGGGTTAGGGTTGCCATGGATACCCAGGCCAAGATGAAGGGCATCCAACAGCGCCACATGTTAACCTGGAAAGAGCTGGAGGTGAGTGGCTGTGGATAACTTCTGTGAGATGATAAGATTGATACCACACTCTCATGTCTGTGGTAAATATAAGGCTACAGCCAGCAGCGGATTAGCTTGTGCTTAGCAAGAAGACTGGAAACAGACAGCCTGGCTATGTAACAAAATCAGCCTATCAGCACCTGTTAGGCTCAATAACTTTTATTACTCCCAGACAAGAAATAGTTTAACACAAAACCTCTCATTATATTTCTGTTTTTGTACGGATGAAATAAACAACACATAACTTGTTAATTTATGAGCTTTAGAGGTGTTGATTTTACTATCTTTGGAGCCAGGCTGGCTCTTTGCCTCTGTTTCCTGTCTTTATGCTATGCTAAGCTTAACCAGCTGCTGGCTGTAGCTTCACATTTAATAGACAGATATGAGAGTGGTATCAATCTTCTCATCTAACAAAAAGCAAAAAGCTAATAAAAGTATTTCCCAAATTATAAAATTAGTGCTTTTAGTGAAATGCACATTTTAGGGTGTAACCTTGACGACCGACAACGTGCACTTTTAATAGGATTTCTGTTCAAACAGCAATTGTTATAGCTTTCAAAATGAACTCATTCAATCAATGTCTCTTGTGATAATTACTAAATAAGTCATGATGCTAAGATGAAAAAATAGCACATTTGTGTTTAAAAACTTCAGTCAGTATCTCTGCAGGCCTTTGGAGCATGGAGGGAATATTAAGTGTGGACCCTCATTTGTCCACTATCACCTTTTTAATTCAAAGCTTCTCCACTCTGCTGTCTCAGTCATCAGGGATAAACACAAGTTTTACATGATTTAGCTGTGAATCAAAAGAACCACAGGCTGTTCATTAGGCACATTAGCACAGTTTAAAACCTAATCTGAAGGTTTCCCTGTGCTACTTTCTGCATCTCCATGTTTTAAACAGCTTTATTTAAATCACACAAACATTATGGATAATTTTTATGCCAACAGAAAGGTGCTCTGGTGGCCTCAAAGGCTAAACCGCATAATGGGGACTTAAATCTGTCTCCTGACCTTTAAACATTTATTGTATGCATTTCCCAGTCGTCCTTCCTTGTGTCACACTGTATCATGTTATATAGAAATGGCACCTATTTTATCTTTAATATTGTAGCGGCTCAAAAATGTGACTTAATGTCAATTCCTTACCAATGTAAAGTTTATAGCTAAAATTTCTTCTTTTTGTAATTTGTCACAGACCCATTACACTGTATAACATTATAAAATACAATATATAGTATTAAGCTGTACTACAGTAATTTAATAAGTTTGATCGAATGGTATTAGGAGGACACACATTGAACACCTATTTGAGAAATGTAATTATTTAATGCCCTAATACTGAAATTGACTGTAAATTTTAAAAATCCCACTGAATTGGTCATTTCAGGTGTTTTTTCAAGTTAAAAAACTTGATTTTAAGTGTGTTTTTATGGGGTTCACAAGTTCAGATCTAAAAACAAGTTCAAGATGAAAAAATTCAGCTTAACCATCCAGGCTAATTAAGATTTATCCTACTTCTGTCCTGTCAGGTTCTGTCTAATGAATACGTATATACTCTGTAGCTCTGATGTTCAAGTTTTAATCTTTTATGATTATCGTATTTCACCAATCCAATTTGAGCAACTTGAGTTTTTGACCCAACTTGAATTTTTAGATCAGAATTTGACTAAATATTAATATTGTTTTTTGAATAATGGACACTTAAATACTTAAAATCAAGTTTTTGAAATTGATTGGAACTGCTTTAAGTTATGTAAGAAACAGTGGGGGAGTTCAAATCACAAATCAAATTCAGATAGATGTTTTGTAAAGTATTCAGTGGTATTTAAATTTCAAGTATTTCTCACAAGATTCTAATTAGTACAGTACTTGCTTCCACATGACCACATGTGTAATTGTGCTTTTGATTGTTTATTCATGCTTTTTTTCACTCTTCCACTCCCTTAAAACAATGTTGTGCAATGCTGTGTGCTTTTTGTGTGATGTGTATATACTGGAGAGGGGCGTCACACTTGGTGGTTGGGACATGGCTTACTGTAGCAGATCCATGAGTTGTGTCACGCTAGGGCTGTTAATGCTGACATAGGCCCTTGCAGCAGTGTTTGTGTTGTTTTTGGTAACTAGAGTTTGTCAGGGGATCTTTCATTGCATCCATTCACCTCGTAAATCCTCACGATACACGAGACTACAGAGAAAGAGCTGCTTTTGCAAAATCTCTAACATCAGGTTTGATTTTTATCACAAAGGGGGTTTGTTTTCTGCCCTTTTCTGCATGTGTAACAGTGTTCCGTCAAAAAGCAATAGTCTCATTATGCCGACTGCCATCCCTTCCTCTTTCCTCTGCTTTCAGAAATGTGTTTAAAAACCTGAACCAGGCTTGTTAAGTAGATGTTTTGCAGAGCTCTTCCTGCTGTCGGAGCACATTTGGTTTCAGCTACAGTTTACTTTTACAGCAGCCTTGAAACTATTTCAACTTCTCATAGCCGGAGTGATAATTTGAGTTGGTTGACTTGCACCTATTGCAATGTTCTGTCGAAAAGCACAGAATGAATGCCCAGTCATGCTTGCTAGAACGGACACCGTAAAATTGTCCATTTATTTTAAGATGAGTTGTGGTGTGGCCCGAGCCCAATAAAACACCCAACTGTTGGCGGCCTCCTCCCTCCCTCTGTTTCTGTTTACTTGAAACGGTGACCTCACATATGTTACAGCAGCTGTAAGAATAGAAGTAAACTGAAACCTTCAAACAAGATTGCAAAGAGAGACACAAAGCAGGAGCATCTTGATGTTAGGGTAACAAGTTTGCTCATTTCTTATGATTTTGATTGACATGTGCAGTGTAACAGATGTGATATAACGTTAACTCACTGGGAAAAACATCTTTAATGAGTTTTTCCATCCATGACAGATTTCCTGATGAATGAATGAGGTTTGTTATTTGGATAGTTTGAATAGATATTATTTAGTCATGAGCATTTGCAAACATCTTTGTACTAGATTAGATATCTGCTGCTTTCCTGTAACTAGTTAATCTTTGTCCTTAAACCCACCTCTCATGTAGTGTAGAGAGTGTGTGTATTCACTACATTTTGTGTGTTTTCCCCTGGGTTAACAAGATTCAGAAAACACACTTGTAGGTGAATTTACTGTGAAACTTGCCATGAGGTGAGAGCCACATGGCGTCTCCATCTTTAAAACGTCTTAATTGGTGCAGAACAGCACGTCCAAAACTTTTTATTGCTTTGAACTTTTACTGCACTTGTTTGGACTTTAATAAATCAAAACCTTATGGCACGGAGTGACAGCGATTTCAGCCTAATGACAGAATACAGCCAAATGGAAATGTAATTCATCCTAAAATATAACTTTATTGTCTCTGCGTTCAATCACCGCTGCAGCAGTAAAAGGCACAAGTCAAAGGACATTTAGTGACATTAATTCAGTCTCTAAAAGGCCTGCTAACTGGAAGCACACATGCTCCTCTCTGTGTCACAGATTGGCAGGAGCAGTTGCCTTTGTCTTTGGAAAATGTCTGCACAATTTCCACGCTGGCGTCTTATGGTTTAGTTGAAACAGTGTTTGTGTTAGACTCTTACGGCCTGTAGTGACCTGTTTTTGGCTTCACTGTGACGGATCTGTCATTGTGAAGTGGCTTTTATAGGCTGACTTTTCTTTTGGCTTAAAATAGCAGAAGCTCGCCTGCAAAAGCATTTCACCGCCAGAAGCTGAGTACACCATTAGGATATTTCAGTTCTTGTTTGTAATGTTAAAGAAAAGCACTGACTGCTGTAAATCCTTGTTTGGTGGTTCAGCAGTGCAGTGACTATTGATTGACTGATTTACTATACAACCACATTATAAATCAAATCAATTCGTCCACTCCTACTGTTAATTAGGTGCCCAGAACAACTTTTTACAGGTAGCTGAGACTATGTCCAGTATGCACTCTGATGCTCAGTGTAGTGTAGGCTGCAGAATGGCATTCAAATATGCAATTATTAAAGAAAGAGAATTTTCCCCAACTTCATTTAATACTTTCTCGGTGTAGATTATTCTTTCAACTAATCAATTCATTTGTTTGGTTCAAAAAAAGTCAAACATTTGCTTGTTTCGTATGACCAGTTGCTCTAAACTAAAATATATTCAGTTTATGATCCATCTAGCAAATTTACCTGAAAATTATCTAACCAATTTAATATATAAATAATATAAAACAAAATATTTTGTGTTACTCATTTAATTGATTAATTGATTAATTGTTTCAGCCCTAAAATGAACCAGATGAATACCAGTATATATACACTATTTTAGCCTATTAGCCTATAAAAGACCATCTTGGGTTTTAATACTCAGGAACATCCTTAGCTGTGGGTCAGAGCTAATCTGAGCGTTTGTGGTGCAGCTGCAGCTCTGCTCCGTGGCCCCTCTTGTCAAAGCCTGAACAGGTGTGTTTCATAGGTGTCACAACAACACTCAACCGCTTCAATGTTGCTATGACAACACGGTCCTTGGCAATAAGCCAGTAGAGCATAGAGAGTTCTCACAGGTTCACGGGCCTCATAGGTAATCATGTTAGGTGGAAACGTACTTGGCAACATAATAATTAGAGAAATAAGTGGAGAGATGTTTACACACACACACACATCACACACACACACACACACACACACACACACACACACACACACATATCAACATCTACTGTACATAAATGCCATTTGACATAGAAAAAACCTAGATTTCTGTTCAACTCTAAAGCAGCATAAATAGCAATGTTTTACAACCCAATAATACTTCAATTGTCTGTATATAAAACATATAAATGCTCTAAAAATGTAACAGTTGGCTGTTTTTAAGTTATATTTCTCCACTTTTACAAATGGAGTGCCAGGTGAAAAAGCCCCAACCTCTCATTATACTCAACTATAACTTTATAACTAAGGTTTTATAAATCCAAAAACCAAACTTACCCAACTCCAGCAATTTCTTACAGCTAACTTCTGCCACCTCCACTATTTCAGTCAAGCAGAACGACTCAAAAGGCTCAGCACCACCATTCACAAGCACAGAGAACAAATACTCACTTGGTTTCCTTCTTCATGTCAGGGAAAAAAATGCAGACACACGCACACACAATTAGGGTTTGGCTTGAGAGTGTGGTCGTCTGTGTGCCCCTGTCTGCTGTTGGGAGGGGAAGGTAGGGGAGGGGGATGTTTGTAGAAAAAAAAGGCTGAAACTGAATGATTTCTTTCTTCGCAGTGGAAAGAGGGGCAGGCAAAAGGAGGCGTAAAGGGGGGCGGTAATCTACTTCACATCTGTGGGATGTGGTGGGGGACAGAGGAAGCAAGAGGGTCCTTAGTAAGGGGAGAAATGGCTTTTTATGACCATATTGGATATACATTTCCTATTTATTCTACGAATGACTCCATTAAAATATGTCTGAAGTATGCACTTAGGTAATTTAAAAGGTAAAAAAAACAACACCAAGATCCTTTTCCCAGCAGTTATTATGACTTCCAAATATATATATAATATACAGTAGTGACGGATTAATAACGCGTGGGAGAGTTGAGTTTATTGCTTAGTTGATAAATCTCAGAATGTGGTTTAATTGTATTTACTTTCAGGAAATATTTTCTTTCTTAGTGTTTAGCGTGTTTAGTACGTGAATTTACCGTACTGGGAGTAGTTCTCACCTCATGTCTAATGCTGACTTTTTTAATTGCAGGGATACTGAAATCTAATTCTTTAAAAATGTCTTAGTTTACCATCTGAATGAATAAGCTAGGTGGCTTTATTGGAATTACCCATCATGTAATTAGTTGAAGCAAGGCCAAAGAGCTTTATACCTGGTATTAAAAGGTAATTTTGTGTGCAAATTATCTGTAATTTACTTTTTAACTTAAATGTATTCTTCCAAAACTAAAGTTTAATACAGCATCTCTCTTTACAGTGTGAGTGTTATTTTGTTGAAAAAGGCATACTTTGGCTGCTTTTGGATTTAATTATTGTTCTGTTTGACTGTATTGGAGTGCAGTGTGCTCCCTGATAACTTAGAGGTACATAGAGCTTTACAGTGAAAAACTGTACTTAATGAAATTCAAACTGAAATGAAATGGAATCATGTCCTTAAAAAGCACCTTAAGTGTCTAATATCAGCCCAGTAATCCGAGGAACTGTACCCACATTGGACGATCCTGCAGCTCACCATTTATACCCAGCCCACATTTAGTTACTAAGTAGAAGGGAAGTAGTGCATGAAGAGTTTGTGTCATGTTACAGACCTACAATTAATATGCATCTTTTTATTAACCCTAACCATGTGTTTTACCATACATTACCATAGTTTAGTTGCCCAGACCACCTCCGAATGTGGTCTGGGCCGTATATGACCACATTCTTTTAGCAGCATGTACACAATGTGTCCTGGGCCAAATTGAAGGACCAATTATTCATCTAATGCCATGTAAGTACACACTGATGTAAATTGCAGGAGAGACACCCTGTGATGCGAGCAGGAGACAACATTTTATTTTCTATGATATTAATACCGTTGTTTGTCATCTGTGATGCGAAAACAAAAGATTTACACGCAGTCAGAGAAGGTAAAAGTGTGTGTCCTGCTCATATAGTTCACCTATAAAATCCCACAGCCACCATGGAGCATCTCTTCTGCAGGTCTGCTGATAACACTGGTAAAACATAGGAGTTTATTTGTGTAAAAAAGTTTAAAAAGTATCTTAGTTTTTAACAGCCAAAAGGACAGTAATAATGGACATTGACTGACAAAATTCTAAGTAGGTTACAGCAGCCCTATAGTGTTCATTTGCATATAGAGCGGGGAAGTAAGATCTGATCAGAAGCCGTCACTCAAGACGTATGTGGAGACGCATTTCAATGCCAGGTATGAACTGACGTACTTACAGCTGTCCACTTGTGATCAAATCACCCAAGATGCACTTTAATACAGGATATCAACAGGGACACAGCAGCTGCACAACACAGTAGGAAAAAAATAAGCATTGATTTTAGTTCCCTTCTGCGTCTATTTAAAATAAAATAGAGAGGGCGCAGTTTCTCATCTAATGACCAAGTCACGTTTGTTTTGTTGACAATGTGACATCTATAGAGGGCATTTTAACACCAGGTATAAATGGGATCTTTTCTCATTTCCTCTCCCCCCTCTGTCTCTTCAGTGCAGAATAATACACAGCAAATGCTAGAAAGGAGAGTGCACATGTCTCTGCAATAGTGCCACAGGCAGGTGGGTTCACTGGCAAGAAAAAAAACCCAAAAAGACAAGAAATTCAATCTTAATCTTGGAGGTACAAATCCATGACAGCTGCTGATGGCAACCAGTAATCCAGATCAGCTATGATTTGAATGATTCATGATACCTGCTGCAGAACAATGTTTCACCAGAGGCTGAATGTTAAAAGGGCATGGAAGAGATTTTTGATTTTTATCGACCGCTAATCGTCAACCAAGACATAACAACACTGACAGGTCAGGTCAGGTTTAACTTATCTAGGAAGAGGATTAAACACATTTTAAGTAATGGATCATCAGATATTCTGATATAGACATATGTCAGAGCTGACATATTTACTTTTTGAGTTGCTTATGCCCTTTTAGTATGCTTTGATAATTACATAAACCACTTTTTTATGCAACTTTGAATTGTGATAAAATATGAAGCATGATTTTGCTCATTTTATCACATTTAGGTTGCTTTCACATCTGTAGTTCGGTTCATTTGGTCCTTGAACAAAATAATTGACAGGAGTAAACATGAATTCCTATCGACTGACATGCTGACTCATTGATTGGACATTTTGGCCCTTGTCATCCTGCATCATCAGCGCTGTATGAACCCACGTGGGGAAATCAACCTCAGATAACTGACAGCAAGTCATGCAGCACTTCAGGAGTATATTTATCTCCTGTGGTGTCACAACAAACTCAGGGAGAAATAATTGATTATTAGCATTATTAGTCGAGACTGAAACTCAACCTTAGGGATCGATTCCTTGACAGTTCACGGCCAGAAAATGGATTTAAAGTGGTTTGACTTGTAAATTCATGCTCAAATCACATATCTAGTTTCACACAGTTGTGGTTGGTCTATTTTGCTTCCACACAATAAACAAAACTGCACCAAAGCCCAACTGGAAGCAGCCCGGGATCCATTTTTTCAGCCGGTCTCAGGCTGCTTGTTTCTTCTGCACCAGAAGTTTGATTGACAGTTTTTCAGACTACATGAACTGCACTAATCAGGCACACCAGAATGTGGTGTGAAAGCCCCTTCAATCATCCAAAATAACAACAATTTGTATACTACTGTAATGGTCAAGTTTAGTTTACCAAACCACTAATGGAGCGAAGCCTGCAAGCTAGTTCAGGCAGGTCAACTCGAGCTGCGCTGATTACACACATGACATGCCTTATTCCATAATCACTAACCAAACTTAAGTTGGCTGACTGAACGAGTGTTTTAACAAGCTCCCTGATAAGATAAACCAATTTCATAGGAAATAACTTAAAAGCAAATGTAAACTGAACACACATCGGATTTAAAAGAGCAAAATTTTGCTGATGTACCGAACAGCATCATATTTAGTTTTATTGTATAATTGCATAGTTCCTACTCTAACATTTCAAAGAATCTTGAAGATGACAACATTGACAACCACACCTTTGAGCCACATGTTATCCTCATATTGTAGTCAACCAGATGGTCTTTGTCAAACATCACAGTTTTAAACGCCCCCAGTCATGTTTGGACATGCATGTAGCATGTCCAAGATGTTCCATTTTACCCCAAAGCACAGGAAAGCACCATATGGGAGCTGTTTTTCATTCTCAGTGTAAACCATGTCACATAACTGACCACAAAATCCTTGACATCTTCAATGAATGTTACATGAAATGCAGCAGCTTCGATTATGTGGGCAGGAAAAAATGTTTAAGAAAGTAGAGGTAGCAAATCCAGTCATCCATAACTGAGTAAAAATGTTTTCTGTGGCAAAAAAATTGATTTTTAAACTAAATGTCTCAAAACCTCAGTGATTTGCTAGACAGATACATACCTTAGCAGTGCTGTTTGGAGACATATTTTATCTTATGCAACATATTCAGACATTAAAGCTTAATAATCGCAAGCCATGCTATTTTTCAAAATGTTATATACGAATCAGTTGCAATAGAATCCATATTTGTAACAACATTGTCTATAGCTCATCATTTTTCATTGTTTGTCCTCTTCCTACCACTTCTGTTTCACCCGCTCCCATGTTAAAATTGCTAACATGAATTTAATTTCAAATGAAAGCAAAATATGAATTCACACAGTGATCCACTGGAGTGTTTACAAAATACATAGTAGATTAGGCTGTGACCGTGAATATATTGACCAAGAAACGGTTTCAGCATTTTCTAATTGACCAGCACCTTGTGTACCCCGAGGGCTGCTATTGACCAAGGCCAAGGACTCAGTGCTCTGTGCAGCCACTTATCCACAGCAGTGCGTAAGCAATGAGTGCCACAGTGTGCTGGTGCTGATAAACTCTGCTAATCCACTCTTGGAGCCCAGCACAGTTCAGGCTTCTCTTAGTGCTCAGACCCAGTGTGCCACTTTATCCATGTTCCCTTTTACGGCACAAACTGGGGAGCTTTGGGAGGAACAGGCAGGGATTTGTGATAACGTTCACTTTTTAAATCTATAACATGTCAAATCATGTGCAACAATTAATAAATCTGTCAATAGAAATGTTCTGTGAAATTTAGGGCTGTTGCCAGCGGATATTCTGTAACAGTGACAAATTTTCCTTCTCAGGGCCCTGACACACCACACTGATCTCAAACAAAGCACCAACAAAAGCCCATTAATAAAGCTGCACTTGAACACACCATAAATCGACATACAGCCAGACGACATACATGTAACATTCTGACACACCACGCACACCCTGCATGTGAGGAAATACAGTACGTAACTAAAAGTTGAAGCTGGTAATGTTACAGTCAGCGAGAGACAATTTTTGACATGACAATGTGTCCATTGTTTGCTCATTGTGATATGAACCATGTTTCAGGTCAGCAAGTGAATCAGTAACTACTGGAGACCTAAATAATAATACTAATAATACTAAATAATACTAAATTTAATTATGATTAACTATTCATTCTAGTTCTCTGAAAGAAACAATTTTACTCCAACAATGTGAATTATGCAGATTACACTG